ATATAGTTTCAGGAGTAAATAATCACAAATTGTTTGTGATTATTGTTAACCGTACGAGTTGTAGTGATTGTTTATTCACTCCTGATAGGACGTGTAATCACACTAGTTCTAAGAACTGTGCGTCCGTTGCCAGAATTATGAAAACCGCATGTACGTCCATAACTGCTATTTAGCTTGATTTAAATTTCAGTACACACAACTACTACCCACGCATTCACATACCATAATGCATATTTGCAATATATATAACTATATGTGCTGAAGCAAATTTGATATATAACTATAATAATCAAATGTGAACAGGTATCGTTATTTCTGTTTTATGAAGCTGCAGAGGCTATACTAACGACAATCATCACCACGGTTATACCACGTTCTATTTCATATTACAGCCAGGTTGTTGTTTGTTTGTTTTTTGTTCGTCGACCAAGGTTGGCATGATGATGCTTCCTTGAGTCGGGAACATTTGTTCCTTACAAGGCTATACTAGTCCGGGTTCGCCGTCCTCCGGGCCGGCTATTTTTATCGTGACACCATCACTTGCCACTTGCCACACTCTATCTCTATTTGCTGAATGCTAAGCAGAGAAGCCGTGTGTACCATTTCTCAAGTCTTTGATATGACCCTGCCGAGAGTTGAACCCCCGACCCTCCACATGCGAGGCGAGCACTCTACCATTGAGCCATCGCTGTAGTTTTTGAGGTAAGGTAAGGTAATAGAAATTAAAAATGTAATAAAAAATATTGTACTGACTACAGGTCAAAATATACACAGCATACTGTAGACAGTAGTTCACGTAGTGGAGAGATGGCCGAAGCTGCTGCATACATAATTATATAGTCCTAATGAGAAAATAAGATTTGCTTGATGAAGGGAACAAAGAATGCTAAATTGTTAGACTCGTGCGTAGTAATTATTCTAAGGCAATCAACAGTGGGAGAACTACATTCCTGCCAGATCACCATGTGACATTTCCGATGGCAGCGTGACAAAGTCAAAGACGTTATAAGTAAGATTGACTGCATGCTAAGTGACTCTTGATGGCAGGGTTGAGGTTGAAATGACGACATCACTGATATAGTGCACACTGACAATGCATTACGGCACGCGTCGCTTGCGCGACCGTCGCCGCAAATGCAGAGATTAGGAAGGGAGGGCCCGGCAAGTGATGTGAGAAAAGTGAGTAAGGTGGAGAGAACCAGAGGACAAGATGAAATGGGCTGAGGTGATAACGCCGGTATTGCGTGCATACCAATGTTTTCAACAACAATTTTAAACCTTACTCAGAAATTGTCCCTATTCGACAGATATCATACCATGCATGAATGGTAAATTTAAGGGATTTTATATGCATTTAAGAGAGTTTTAAGTGTGATTAAATCTTAGTAATAACAGGCATTATCAAAGTCGAATTGTGGGCAATGTAAGCACAGTATTCGTAGTCACTAGTGCCACTTCCCGATCATGCAGGTGTGTTGATGTGCACAACTTATTAATGACTGTAGTTTAAAATTCACAGCCAACAGACCAGACCAGTCAACAATGTCTAGATGCATTCATATATCTAATCGTTATACTAAACAGGAACTGTAAATTAACGAAATATGCCAACTTCTTTCGTGGAAATCAAATCAATATACAAATTATACTGAATTTGATCTTCGTCACTTTTTCACATCTTTTTACATTAATATTTCATACACAAATAAACATCGAAAACCCATAACAAAATAGGAGTGGATAGCGACCAAGGAACGCAGCGACAGCCCGCATATCAGTTGTGACATATAGATAGAGATGCTGATAAGGACAGATATAAGTCAAATAAGCACTGACCTCCCACGGCGTTCGTACAACGTTCCCAGAGATGATCTGCGTAGTGTAGCCACCAATGAGAGGGATGTCTGTATCGCTGGCTATGGCTTTAACCTGTGATTTTGGCACCTGCAAAAATAGCACAAAAATAAAATGAGCCAGCATGGGAGTTTGAATGGTAAATAAGATCAGCATCTGCGCTCATTTCTATGAGGGGAGGTATAATTTTATGACTAATTATTGATGATGAATTTAATTATTACAGTTTCATGAAATAAACCACAAGTGTTATAAGATTAGGCTGATATAAAATGATTGTTCTATTAGTTATCACATTTTTATTTTTATTCACATTTATTATGCATATTCATTTAATGAGAGAGAGAGCGAGATAAAGAGAGAGAAAGAAAGGGGGGGAGTGAGGGAGCGAGAGAGCAAGAGAGAGAGAGAGAGAGAGCGAGAGAGAGAGAGAAGAGAGAGAGAGAGAGAGAGAGAGAGAGAGAGAGAGAGAGAGAGAGAGAGAAGGGGAGAGATAGAGAGAGAGAGAGAATCTGTACATGCCGATTTCCCCTCCACACCCACGGGTAAATTATACAACCTAGCTTGAGCACACTACAAAATGTGGACTACCGCTTGCATAAGTGACAGTGGCGAACCACCCCCAGCCCTGTTGGCCTCGACCCTCTGTTTCACTTGTCACCATCGAGGTCGGCGCATGATAACTAACGAGCGTGGTTCGATGGTGCAACATCGACGCACTACGACACAACTTACGACAATTTTCGCAGCATTCCTGATCTCATACATCCACTGTATCATCTCCTTCCAGTCGCTCGCGTGCAGATAGTACTTCCTACTTGGTATCGTTATAGCTGGAACACAGACCGGTGACGTTATAGCTCGGCAATGCACTAAACCCGTTTCCATTTACAATCGCACGTCATTTACTTACTCATTTTATTGTTAGTGGCATTTATTAGGCTGTACATTAGTAGAATTAGTATCCCAGGGCAAGGCATATGTGAGTCCATGCACTTTCAGCCACAAACATAGTTACCCCAGTCGCCGCCCAGAAACCCTGTTTACCTCCATGTAAACAGATACATCTCTATATAACCCCCGAAATCGATCGTATACAAGATATTAGCTACAGGAATCTGCGGTAGTTTATGTACACTATATTATACAGGATGCATTGAATCTCTACGTACCTACGGATTACATATTGTAGTATGCCGAATTGTGTTATCATACGTAAATTTTTTTAAAGTGCAATAATCGATAGTTTAAATGTACACGTGCGTTTTCAGAGTGAATTCACTGACAATTTAGTGAATTTGATAGATAGAAATTGCGATCTACAAGGATTAATTATAGCAATGTGAATAATCTGCTGATACAGGAATTTGTAAGTGAACGTGGATAACACATGGAAAATGCCATCACAGGTAGAAAGAAAACAAATATATAACAGTTTCATAATATAAATATCCACATGTTTCACGTACAGGTAATGGTCAACATGTAAAACATAAAACATCATCACAAGTAGCAAAAATAAATGCATGCAATCGATAAATCTAATGACGAAACAGTACACATACCACTTAAACTAAATATTACCAACCCATTCGTTAAAGCAAAGACACTCAAGTCAAGTCTCAATATATCCATCGCTTTGGGGGGAAACCTGTTTACAGACCAAGCCGACAATAAAAAAAGCTTTTAGAATACCTTGGCAAACAATAGTAGTTGATCGTATCCATTCTAATAGCATATATAGCTTACCGAAAGTGCAGGAGTGCTTGGGCCTGTGTGGTTGTGGGGCATCACTTATGAGAGATATGTAGTTCACCTTAATGGACACCATTGGCTTCGCACCATCAGGCAGATTCTAAAAATAATGCAGTCAATCGTTAAACCAAACCAACAATTTCAATATCGTTACACGAAAATTGTGAGATAAATCATCTTCAGCAAATAATTTTGTAGCCAACTTGGCGACATTTCTTCTTTTCGACATATGCAACAGAATGCAAGCAGTGGGGATCGAATTACTTTCAAATAATGACAAGTAATTTAAAATGAGATTCCTAAAAACCACTTTGAACTTTAAACGGCATTACAATGTGATGGTAGCCCTTTCAACTACAGATTGCATGTCCATAGAGCATTCGTCCACGACCGTAACAAACAAGAACTGAGCAAGCTTTTAGATCGAAGCGATAACTTTTGATCATACAATCTTGATGAAAGGATGCACGTATGGTTCATATGGGGGCATTTCTGTGTAGTGACCCATCACAACAGGGCTGTTGACTTGGTCTGGGAAGTTATCATTTGAAGGCACGTACATTAGCTTTCATCCCGCGATTTCGATGCACATAGTGCAGCGCTCACCAGCGGATTGTCCGCGTAATACATGAGGTATTGCTTCACTGGATCCAATATGAAGTACCGGCACACGAAATTTCCACTGTCCTCCTCCTCCTCCACATCCATGTAACCACACCACCGCTGCAATCTGTCTTTGTACGGCATCACCTGAGCGTATGAGACACGGAACATATTACACTGACAGTGTTAATCATGCGATGCTAATTTAATTACAGATAGGTCGCTGACGACGCTCTTGTGTAGGTATAGATTCTCAATCCTCGCTTGCAAATTCGCACGGGAGAGCTAGTTTCGAAAACAGAAATCAGGCAATAAAATGTGAAAGGTGGAAGGTGGTACAGAAAGGTGTAGTGTGTAGTAACCGCTCTTGCTTTCGGTAGTACACGGAGACCTCATGTATTGTATTAGAGATTGAGTAAAACACTAGTGAACGCTACTTCTTGTCTTGTCTTTATCTGTCTCTAGTCTATTATAGAACCTCTTACAAAGGTAGTGCGAATCACACGCCTACAATATATATCAGGAGTTAATTTGAAAAGTTGAAAGTTTGTCATTATTAACCCCTGATATATAATATATATATGCATATATATAACAGCTGTGGTCGGTTCTAAACACTAGAATAGCAAGAATGGAAGTCATAATTAATCTATATATTTGCGACCCTATACACTGACATATATACATGATACAGAGAGTCTATCTACCACGTACTATAGCCACGGGAGTTCATATGACAGTACCAGAGCTATGCGGGATAAGTTATATATATATATATACAGACATGTGATCCACAGTGATCGGTATTGTGAACCAATGAATATGAAAACTGCTGTCACGGTGACAGAACTAAAGCATTGGAATGTCAACAAAAACAACCGCAAAAACGGATATCACACAAGTACAGCATTAACAACCTCCCTACCTTAATATATAACTTCCAAATCACATATAAGGTTCGTTTCACAATAAGTATCCGATGATAGCAATCCTATATATTCATCCACGGCGCTCTAGATGTACCATCCCTCACACTACTATCACATACGGGTTTTTTTTATCGCTCACACGCGAGTCACGTCTCTCTTTCCCCCTCTATCTCTGTCTCCCTTACTGAGTTACTCCTACGCAGTGACGAACACACGCACGCACGATCCACGCAGGTACACTGAAAGCCTTCTAGTAACGTAAACACGCGCGCGCACGTATCCGCAGCACGATCAGCTCGCACGCACACACACTCGCTAGTCAGCACGATTAACGTGACACTGCCAGCTACACGCAGGCAACGATGTCTACCGCTAGGAATTTACACTCGGCCTGCGAGCGACAATGGACACGCAGCCGATACGCTTAGACGGGCAGCAGATCTAGGTAATGCGTGTCTGCGCGTGTTCCCATGCTCGCGCGGCCAGCCCCCTACTCGTGTGGCATTCCGCACATAGCAACGAGCCATCTCTCGTTTACGCTACCCTGTAGACGTTCTCCGAGAACGACGTCCGCCTTTCTCTCTATCTCTCTATCTTTCTCTCTCTCTCTCTCCATCTCCCTCCCTCCAACTTCTCTCTCTCACCGTCTCTGCCTCTCTCCCTTCCTCTATCTCGCCCTCTCCCCTTCCTCTTTCTCCTCAATCTCTCGTGTTAATTTGTTTCTCTATCTCGCTGTCCGCCTCTGACTCGCATAGGGTACGCGTGGAGATTACATGTGATTTCACATCGCACAAGCGATGTACGTACGTGATAAGAATGCACCGAATATTTAAAGATCTACTTACAAGTTACAGCCAAACCTGTGTAACGTGTTAGCAGTCAACTACATGGACCGAGTACCTGCCTATAAATGACACTATCGAGGTTTCCCTTGAGTGACAGTCAGTCATACAGTGAAACCTCCTCTATAGAATGCACACATGCTAATGAAGGGCACTTGGGGGAGGGGTCCTTTCAGTGGTCCTCATATGCAGGACTGATTGCACATAACATCCAATGGCATCGTGAAGGTGAACGGATCTAAACTTCCATGGATACTTTTGGAACATGCTCCTAGGTTCCCCAACTCTCTTCTAACTTTTAACTAACTATATCCTAATACAAACCTTACTATATATGCCCTTACCCTAACCCCAACCTCAAGTATCTCAGTAACTGTAAGTGCCTAGTTTTTGTACCCAGGGAGATACTAGATCGTAGTATAGCTGGAGTAGGGGTGAGCACTCGCAGCGTACGCTGTCAGGTTGTGAAGGGGACAGACTATCATCACTGTACCCTGGAACCATACTTGATTTAAGTCAGTGGACAACACCTGTATACTTGTTCTATTACTGGACCTTTGTCCACCCTGACTGGAACACGCCCACTCGAACACAGTTACAGACGCGCGGCTGTCCGACCGCCTTTGTCCGCGACGTATCACCTTTTAATGAATTGCCGATTGACTTTGTGTTCCTACGGACGAATTGCTATAATGAATAAGCAGTTCATCTTAACACATTAGGAATACATAGTTCTGTATACATAGAGTTTTTGTCAGGATAAAAATACGCATTAAAGGATTTGTAAACAGCAAAACTTTTGATGTTTATTTTCTTAGTATTTGCATGATATTATTGCTGCAGGTATTAAAGAGAGACATTATTATTGCAGGTATTAACGCCCTGTTCAACGTTTGGATTCGAGTTTTCAATGCAATATAAATTATACATTAGTTTCACAAACACTAGATCACATTCATATGATTTTGTTTCTCCCCTACAGGAGATGAATTTGACAACAAATGATAAATTATTGCATTTATCTGCAATAATGTAAAGTTAACCACAAAAACATAATCACGCTTATCATCACGCTCTATTATGTACTCTTGACGCTTATGTATCTAAACCAAGTGTGTTCCTATATATAATCGAAATCCATCAAGATATACACGAATTAGCATATTATGCACATGGGATATTGCTGTGCTCTTGACCAATGCACTTTATCATTATTTGCTTCAGTTTTTATCAGTTCCAATAATTTGGTTAGAGCAATGGGGTATTTCTTTAAACCTCACCTTGTAAAGAAGTAGCTTTGCTGGGCAAAGCCTGTTACACTTACAGAACTGAAGGCAACACAAGGTACTAGCTGATCAATGCACTATGCTCCCAAGCATTATATGTCGAATTACTAAGCGATACAGAATAAATAAGCTTGAAGGCTTATAGGTAAATAAACACAATGTTTTTATTTGCCATCCTTCCACTATTTAAATGACTTAAGTGCCAGTGTGCGACTGGCACTGCAACAGCACAAAAAAAGATTCTTCTCTTAATTTCTCTCTTTTTTATTTATTGAATTGTTTGTCTGTATGTTTGTTATATTTCTTTATCAATTATATTTGATAGTATTCTGTATACAGACATCCCATCATAAAACCTGATAAATAAATAATCCAAGGGACTATATCGAGGACGGAAAGAGACAACGTTGATGAAATACTGAAATAGACAGATCGACACTGCAATAGCAAAGACCAAAATTGCACAGTTCCAATCGGGTCCGCCAAATACAGGCAGTACCTAAGTTAGATTATAGCCGCGTTCACACGGAGCAGTTTGACCCGTTCCAAAAACGACCCGGGTCAAAATCGACCCGAGCGCTGGTTCATTTTTGCCGTGTGAACGCGCACCGGCACACGACCCGGGTCAGAATTAGTACAGCGGTAGACGTCGCCAGTGTCGTGAGCCAGAGTTTACACAGAGTTGCTGAGCATCGATTGTTTAATTCACATTGTTCGCTTGGACGCATTGTTTTTTTGTTCAACTCGCAGCTCCCATAGCATAGAAGCATGCCCTAGAATAGAAACAATAATGTAACCCAACAAGAATCCCTACTCTTGTTGGGTTACATTATTGTATCTAGTCCTAGAACTGATCGATCAAACGTCATGTGAACGCTCTCTTCAAAATCGACCCGTCGTTTTTGATCCGGGTCAGTCTCGGATCGTTTTCGACCCGGCGTTTTCGCTGCGTGTGGACGCAGCTAGATATATTCTATCTGCATTCTATATCGCTGATATAATAATATAACCCAACAAGCGTAGTTTACTGGGCTTATTCAGTTATTCACTTATTGCATTGAGCAAGATTAATTGTAGGCCTATTAATTTTTATTAAGTATTAATTATGTATTATGAAAGTCATTTATTGTACTCAGATATTACAGCTTTAGCCTTTAGTTAAAGTTAAAAAAGTAGCAAGCCGTAACGGCGTAAGCAACTTCCACAAACAATGAAACATATGTCATATGCCGCGAAGTAAAGCAGATGCGGTCGTTGTCGTATCAGGTACTACAGATATGTACCCGAGGTAGTTTTAGGTTGTTTAGTATTATGTTTATATTTTTATATAATTAGGAGGTAGTTTTAGGTTGTTTAGTATTATGTTTATATTTTTATATGAGGTATGTTTAGGGTTAGGGTTAGGGTTAGGGTTAGGGTTAGAACTAGGGTTATGGTTAGGGTTAGGGTACACTTCTGTAGTACAAGTCTGGTACACTTTGTGTATACATATGTACCTTGGGTACATATCTGTAGTACCTGATACGACAACGACCCCTTCAGCTGAAGTAAACCGAGATGCCATAATGCAACCATGCCAATAAGGAAATGTCTATACAACCGGATCCGGTTTCGGAGTCCTGAAAACTAAACAACCGGCTCTCTTCTCTGATTGGCTAATTTTGTCACTTATTTATTTTATTTTTTATTATTTTTGGCTAATTTTATTTTATTTTAGAATTAGGGTTAGAGTTAGGTTTAGGGTTTGGGTTAGGGTTAGGGTTAGGGTCTATATCCACTACTTTCAAGTAGGGCTGAGTATACTCGATCAGCAGTAGAGCTATATAGCTTTCGCTTCGTGATAGTAACGGACCGTGTTCGAACCCCATAATGATGATGTTTTTATTTTTCTCTGCTTTGTGTATTTCTTTATATTTTATTTGTTTCTGCATTTATAGTGTAACTTTTGTTTATGTTTGGAATTAAATATATTTCTTTATGTGTTGCATTTAACATTGTCCTATTATATATTTTTCCTGTTAATAGTGTTATGTTCGGAAACTGACCAATCAGAGAAGAGAGCCGGTTGTTTAGTTTTTAAGACTCCGAAA